TTTTTTTTTTTTTTTTTTTTTGAGAGTCTAGCTCTGTCACACAGGTTGTAGTGCAGTGGTACAATCTCAGCTCACTACAGCAACCTCTGCCTACCAGATTCAAGCAATTTTTTTTCTCCTGCCTCAGCCTCCCGAGTAGTAGCTGGGACTACAGTGGGACTACAGGTGCACACCACCATGCCCAGGTAATTTTAGTAGAGATGAGTTTTCACCACATTGGCCAGGCTGGTTTCGAAGTTCTCATCTCAAGTGATCCACCTGCCTTGGCCTCCCAAAGTGCTGGGATTGTAGGTGTGAGCCACTGCGCCCGGCCCCTCGAAATGCAAATCTGTATGGCCACTTTGGAAAGCACTCTGGCAGTTTCTCATAAAGTTAAACATACACTTAGCATATAATCCAGAACTCCTACTCATAGATTCACCCAAAGAACTGAAAACATGTTAACACATAAACCTGTTTATGAATGTTCATAGCAGCTTTATTCATAATCATCAAAAAATGATACAATCAAGATGTACTTCAAATCTGTGAGTGGATAATTGAATTACGGAATACTATGGAATGCTACTCATCGTTAGAAGGAAATGAACTGCTAATACACATAGATGAATCTCAAAATAATTATGTTGAGTGCAAGAAGCCAGACATAAATATATATTGTATGATTCCATTTATATAAAACTCTAGAAAATGCAAACTAATCTACAGTGAGAGGAAGCAGATTAGCATTTTGTTTGCTTGGCCACACTGGGGAGCAGTCAAAGGGAGAGAGATTATAAAGTGGCAGGAGACTGAGGGTGATGAAGATGTTCACTATCTTAACTGTGAAAATTGTTTCACAGGATATGCATATATTAAAACTCAGTTGTACTGTACAAACATATGCATTTTATAGTATGTCAATTATACCCCTAATAAAGCCATTTTAAAACAATAAAATAGACCTGAGTTTACAATGATCCCAGGTACATGGAACAACAAAACCACATTCCAAGGCATCAAAGAAATTCCATAAATAAATTTTTGGGGAACATGAGCTCACAAACACAAGCTGCATGGCAACTTAGCAAATGATTGGACCACAGCATATCATCAAGCCTCATCTGCCATTGTTAGCCCACACTCCTACTTTAGATTTCAGCCTTCTAATCCCCATGCAGTTCCTCAAACATACAAGGTGTTGCCTTATAACTCCTTCTTAACATGTACACTTATGCTTACAAGTGTCAACATAAATGTTGCTTCCACAAAAAAAATTTGACCTCTATCTAAATTCTGTCCCCATGCAGTTTCCTCCATAACTTTTACCATTCTCTGTATTAAAGTTCTCTCTTACAACTTTCAAACAGAAAGACTTACTATGTTCTCAGTGTACCTTACACATACCATGTAATATGGTATAATAATTAGAATTAGGCCAGGTGTGGTGGTTCACACCTGTAATCCAAGCACTTTGGAGGCCAAGGTGGGTGGATCACCTGAGGTTGGGAGTTCAAGACCAGCCTGACCAACATAGTGAAATCCCATCTTTAAAAAAAAAAAAAAAAAATTTGAAAAAAAAAAAAATTAGAATTAACAAGAATTTTATTTGCATATTTGTCTCTCCACAATACTATAAGCTCCTTGAGGGCAGTGACTGTGTTTTCTCCCCTTTGTATTTCTACCACTAATCACACAACTTGGAACACGGTAAGTATATGGAAAGGTGACTGACAGAACAACCACATAAACAAACAGAGGGACTACATATTTCTTGAGAACCTAACTCAAATGAGTTGGCTATGTTTAATAATACATGCTATATTTAATTCAGATGTAAATACCAAGATATGTTTCAAAACCCATGTGATTTATTTTTCCATTATTAATGTTGACTATTTCTTTTTTCACACAGCATTTAATAGGCAATGCATGCATTACTATTCAGAGCACTGCAGAACATTTAGCATTCCTAGACCTAACCTCCAGTTAGTGAAGGTATCCAGTCATTGCGACAACCCTCCCCCATATTTCCAAATATCCCTCCCACTAGGAAAGGGGACAATACTACCTCCCAGTTGAGAATTACTGCTTTAGAAAGAAAAACTGATATAATGACAGCTGTAACTTCAGCTTGAAAATTGTCATTGCATCTGCATTTACTGAGTCCTCTAAGATTTCATTAAATCTTCAGAGATTTTTGGGTGCAAGAAAGTATATGCAAAACTTTAAAAACAAAAGAAAAGAATAAAGAAGACAGATTTATACCTCTTTGCCACATCACTGGGTCTCTCCCCTGCTTTGTTGGTAATATTACTGTCTGCTCCCATTTTAATCAACCACTGCAAACACTCGATGTGGCCTTGTCCAGCAGCTGTTCAAAAGAGGAAAAAAAAGTTAGTTATTAGTAACAATTTTCTAAAAATTTGGACAGTACCATTATAGAGTACCTACCGGAGTGTTGATCCTTACAGTAACTGGAAAAAGTATGATGGGAAAATGTTATTTTCTCTATTTCATTTAGTGATTCATTAGACAAACATTTAATCAACTGTGCTCAGGCCCCATACAGATAATTTTACATATGGATATAAAAGTTGAAGTTCAAAAAGGTTATTTATGTATTTATTTAACATCATACAGATGGTAAGTAGTTTAAAACTAGAATCCAGGCTTTTCTAATACTATCCAGTGATTATCTCCTGCTATAAATAGCTCCTAACCTATCTTGTATTTCACAAGAATGTGAGCACATTCTAACTGTATGAACCTACATAGACTTCAAAAAGTCTTGCTTCAGCATTTATCTATATGATAGATGTATGATATACATGCATTCTTCTGATTCTTACAACTCAAAACTTATAGGCCTCTAAAGCCACACCTGATTAACCTAAACTGTTTACCACCTTTGTCTAAATCTTTTTCTCAAAATACATGCTCTCTTTATTAATCGTCACCTTCACAACTCTGCTTATGTGTCTTCCCACCTAAAGCTGATCACTCAACAATGTGCTTATTGAACCTGTAACTATTCTTCATTCATCTTGAAACTCAAGGAAGCTGAAGAAAACAAACTGAATAGACTTAAAAGAAAGACCCGAGTTTAAGCCTATTAAACACTAAGATGTGAGGACAGTGCTGTAATCTTCATATCCCCAGAACACAGCAAGTGGCTGCAACATACAGACCTTTAATAAAAGTCTAAAGAGTTAATGAGTGAATGAATATATTTAAAAAATGAAATCTTAGTTCTGCTCTTAACAGCTATATAACTGCAGTCAAGTCACCTGACTTCTGTAAACATCAATTTCTTCATCTTTTACACAGATGATTAAAAGCAGAGCACACTGCTGCTTTACAAAATTGCAATAAGGATTAAATGTGATCAGAGCTTTTCATTCTGTTAAGTGGCATATAAACATCAGGTATTCTTGCGAAATCCCCATGAACAGTTCAGTTCCTCAAGAATTTGATCCTTAGCAACTTCTTCCACCCCTCAATTCCTATTCCCAAATTCCTACCACAGGTGTTTTAATAACCTATTTTTTTTTAGCCATTAATTACATCCTGCCTTAAAAGAAAGCTCTGGTTCTTTTATGGTGTAATTATGTAACTCTTTAACAGCAAGGTCCAGATCTCATTCTGACTCATGATATAAGCACATGGTTGGTGCTGAATGGGTATACATGACCTTGCAAAATAAATCAAAAAGTAGGAACTTTTGGTATTTATTTGGTGCCTTAAAAAGTGAACCCACCTCCATTACTGGCAATGTAGAGGACATAGAGAAATTCAAGTGACTAAACCATCCAATCACTACAGTCCTATAGCCAAGCTGGCAAAAGTCTGTAAGAACCCTTGGTCTGTTGTCCTCTACCTCAGAGCCATCTGCCAAATTACAAGTTGGCTTCTGCAGAGTCTGGGCTTCTCTCTTTCCCAGAGTCTGAGGCTTCTCTCTCTCCTACAGCCTATCCAGAATCCACTAACACAGAACCTACTTTCTCATACCTCTATTAATAACTCGACTTTAGACAAAAATGGCAACATATTTTATCTTTTCTGCCATTAAGAGTCACAAACTCATATTTATGAGCATGCATAATGCTGAATTTTACAAGACAGAATGAATTTAGCCCAACATTTCATTTTATTACATGGAAATGTTTAAAAACAGGAGGGAGGGAGGTTAAGTAATAGATCTACAATGAAGTGCAATAAGAGGATTTACCCAAGATTTTTACTGAATATTGATTAGGATATGTTGACTAATTTGACCAATGTTTTACAAGAAACAAGGTAAAATTATACAGCAGTTAGAAATTTTTAAGAAATGACTTGAAATAATTATGATTTAATTCCAAGTTTGAAAAGGGGAAGTCAGCTAGGCACAGTAGCTCATGCCTGTAATCCCAGCACTTTGAGAGGCCGAAGCCGGTAGATTACAAGGTGAGGAGTACAAGACCAGCCTTGCCAATATGGTGAAACACCATCTCTACTAAAATACAAAAATTAGCTGGGCATGGTGGCACATGCCTGTAGACCCAGCTACTTGGGAGGCTGAGGCAGGAGAATCACTTGAACCTGGGAAGCAGAGGTCGCAGTGAGCTGAGATCATGCCACTGCAATCTTGTCTGGATGACAGGGCAAGACTTCGTCTCACAAAAAAAAAAAAGGAGGAAGTCATACTAGATCTAAGCAATTATTAAATAACTAAGAAGAATGCCTCAATAATAAATGCTGCACCTTATCTACTGAATGAAATTAAAACTAAAGGAAAAAGCAATCTGACAAAATGTGAGAAACATTTTGTGAATTGAATTATAAACAGATGTTAACTTTTATATGACCAATTTGAGTACAGTACAAACATACGGATGGTGCCCAAGAAAAGGCTAATGTCTTAATGTACTTCTGAATGTAGGATCAATGAAGAAATTAAGAAGGAAGTTGAAAAATTTCTTGAAACACATGATAATGGAAACACAACATACAAAAACCCATAAGATACAGCAAAAGCCATATTAAGAGGCAATATTATAGCTATAAGTGCCTACATTAAAAAGCAGGAGGACAGGCAAGGTGGCTCACACCTGTAATCCTAGCACTTTGGGAGGCCGAGGTGGGTGGATCACCTGAGGTCTGGAATTCAATACCAGCCTGGCCAACATGGTAAAACCCCATCTTTTAAAAAAACAAAAAACAGGAAAAACTTGAAATAAAAAATCTAATGAGGCCAGGCACCGTGGCTCATGCCTGTAATCCTAGCACTTTGGAAGGCCAAGGTGGGTGGATTACCTGAGGTCAGGAGTTCAAGAACAGTCTGGCCAACATGGTGAAACCTCATCTCTACTAAAAATACAAAAATTAGCCAGCGTGGTGGCAAGTGCCTGTGTCCCAGCTACTCGAGAGGCTGAGTCAGGAGAATCACTTGAACCTGGGAGGCAGAGGTTGCAGTGAACCGAGATGGCACCACTGCACTCCTGCATGAGTGACAGAGCAAGACTCCATCTCGGGTAAAAAAAAAAAAATCTAATGACACATCTTAACAAGAAAACCAAGAGCAAACCAAACCCAAAATTAGTAAAAGAAACAATAAAGATCAGAGCAGAAATAAATGAAATTGAAATGAAGAAAACAATACAAAAGATCAGTGAAACAAATAGCTGCATTTTTTTTTGAAAAGTTCAACAAAACTGACATTTATCCAGACTAAGAAAAAAAGGAGAGAAGATCCAAATAAACAAAATCAGAAATGAAAATGAGACATTACAACTGATACTGCAGAAATTCAATGGATCATTAGTGGATACTATGAGTAACTATATGCCAATAAATTAGAAAATCTAGAAGAAATAGATAAATTCCCAGTCACATACAACCTACCAAGATTGAACCAGAAAGAAACCCAAAACCTGAACAGATCAATAATGAGTAATGATATCAAAGCCATAATAAAGTATAACAACAAAGAAAAGCCGAGGACCCGATAGCATCACTGCTGAATTCTATCAAACATTTATAAAAGAACTAATACCAATCTTACTCAAATTATTTGAAAAAATAGAAGGGGAGGGAATACTTCCAAACCCATTCTACAAGGCCAGTATTACCCTGACTCCAAAACCAGACAAAGACACATCAAAAAATAAAA